GCTATGTAGCTCCAGGAGGGGCCAAGGCTAAGGCTAGAAACAGACACAGGAGTCACTGAGAACTGCAAGGTTCATAGGTAATGGGGCAGGTAACTCTGTGGCACCAGCAAGTCTTTAAAGCAGGTCTTTGGCTGTGCTCAGTTTTTATTTTGTCCTAGGAGAGTAATTCATTCATCGATTCAAAATTATAACATTCAACTGCCACATGTTCATGTGCCTGGAAGCTAAGGGAAGTTTTGGACACTTGTCCAGTTTCCTTCTCTTTGCCCACCAGGGTAGAGTCTCTCCTGATGCTTCAGCAAAGATGTAGGGTTATTGCAGCTTGATTCTGTTCCTGGGTTAGGCCCCAGTGGAAAGAAGGTGCTGAGGAAGACTCCTCCCTGAGAATACCATTGCCAGGGAGAGAGCCCTCTGCCCCCCATCTTGCACTGTTAACAGTTATTAGCATCTTATATTTCTCTAATGCAGCCTAATAGAAAATGATTATTCGAGACATGCGCCCCTGGGGAACCCTTAACCCAGCGGGCACTGGTTCCTTGCCTAGAATCCTGAGTGCTTTGTCATTTTCTATTAGATCACATCCTTCAAATATTGTGGGTGTTGGGGCAGCTAAAGAAATGTTCATCCTTTATCAGTAATTGATATTCAGGTAGTCCAACTCTGTGCATACAAATGTCTGTCTTTACTTGCTAGCTCAGTAGGTGCCCTGGACCTGCCTAAAGTAGCTGATGGAACTTTTCTTTTAGGACTGTTGCTAAAATTTGGAAATGGAGTTAGAGCCTCATCTACGTAGGGAGAAGGTCACTGTGTATAGTTTCATGTAATCTGTGATATTCAGTCTTAGATGACTTAGGGGAAAATGGCAATCTTGAATTAATTCCCCTTTGATGCTTTTAGCTTTCTTGTTCAGCATTTTAAAAAACCGTACAGTACGGGTAGCTTGGTCCCTCTGGGGGAACACATTTGCAGTCTCATCCAAGTCCCTTCTACCCAGGACTGAGCAGTAGCATGTGTGTGGGGTGTTGGGAGAGATGATACTCACTGTCCCCTCTCCCCCCCACCCCCCAGGGACGTCCGCTTTACCTCCTCCACCTCCGCCTCCGCCTCCACCTCCACCACCAGCAGCTCCCTTGCTTCCTGCGAGCCCAGAGGTGCCTACACAGCTCCTGCCCCAGGCTGTGAACGGTGTGAGCCGCGGGGCCTTACTCAGCTCCATCCAGAATTTCCAAAAGGGAACTTTGAGGAAAGCCGAAACCTGTGATCATAGTGCTCCTAAGATTGGCTAAAGCTTCGTGTTTACACGTGGAGGGAAAAGTTCTTTGTTTTTTCCTCCCACCTCCAATCCCTGAGGTACTCTCTTTCCAGATGAATGATTGCTGAGCCAGGACAGCCGCACTCTTTTGCAGATGCTCAGGCAAGAGGCTTCTCAAGAGGGAAATAGTCAAGTAGAATAAGGTCAGGCTGGCATTTCTGCCTTAAGAAATATTTATTTTGCTCCTTTATTACCATTTTAAAGGAGTCTGGTTCATCCTCTAATGGGCTTCTTTTGGGGACAGCAGCATATTGGAGTCAACCTTGTCACCAACTGAAGGAAATGGACAGAAAAACAATGACAATGTTCAGTCACAGCAGTGAATGACCTTTGGGTTGCAATCCCTCCTATCCCGTCAGACAGCTCCCGGAAATGTTCCTCTCATTTCTCTATAAAGCATTTTCTGGTTATTAGGTAACTCCCATTTTTGCTACCTAATTTTGTCTTGGACATTATTAACACTGTAGTCCATAGTTATGTCGCAGAGTGAGACAAGTAACTGAGTTCTTCCTTTTCCATTCAGATAGACAGGGGCAAGTCAAGTCCGGAACGTTCTCTAGGTTCTAACAGGAATACCATTGTGGTTATAGAACTCAGGGCTGTGAAAGCAACCACTCTAGACTCCTAGTTCCTTTTAGTTAGAGTGTATTGGACAGACATGAAATGTAAACATCAGGAAAAGCTCTTGCCGATCAGAGGATCTCCTTAATCCTCAGCAATAAAGTCAAGTTTGTGGTTTGTGGGGAGTTATTATTACAACACAAGTAAATCTGGCATCCATAGAAATCAATTCTGATTTTTGAAAGATTTATCCAAATATATCTTTTTAATGTTACTCATTTATTAGATCCTTTATCCTATGATTTGCTTAAACCCTTAAATAAATTGCACTTTAAAGGATTATCAGTAATCCATTTAAAAATTCAAGTACACACATCAGTGTTGGTTACTATGCAGAGAGAATGTCATTGTGTATAGTTTCATTTAATCTGTGATAAATGTTCAGCTGTATTTTTTATTAAAATAAACCATGTCAAGAAAATGTGTTGTCTATAGCTTGGCTACGCCTTTGAAGTGGGATTTTTTTGTGGGAACTTTTATAAAGAATAGATCCACAGAATATTTCTTTTCTGTCATCTTTTCTCTCTTAATTACTAAAAGCTAACAATCCTGTCTTGCTATTTAAATTAGGCACCCCTTGTTTGCTTCTATAACTAATTTAAACCTGTCTTTTCTGTCTCAACCTCTAAAGAAGGCGGCATATAGCAGAATGTCTATTTTTCGGCAATGGGAAAAATACCTGACATGAATTTTGGTTTAATTTGGAAGGGAACCCTATTACAATTGGGCATTTGAAAAGTCTGTGGACAAGTTCCTGTTACAAGTGTGATGGCAGTTTAGGTGATTTAGTGTCACTAATTTCTTAACAGAAATTCTTAGCAGAATTTTAAGACCTCCATCCATCCCACGTTTATTACCTCAAGAATATAAAAATACAGTTAGGGGCGCCTGGGTGGCTCAGTCGTTTAGCGTCTGCCTTCGGCTCAGGTCATGATCCCAGGGTCCTGGGATTGAGCCCCACATTGGGCTCCCTGCTCAGTGGGAAGCCTGCTTCTCCCTCTCCCACTCCCCCTGCTTGTGTTCCCTCTCTTGCTGTGTCTCTCTCTGTCAAATAAATAAATAAACATCTTTAAAAAAATAAAAATAAAAATACAATTAGTTATAATTAGGAACTCCTTTATTCCTTATCAAAACAGTCTAACAGCAAATGTAGATAAAAGGTTTCATCTTTACATACAAGTTGTCATTTTTGGATACATCCTTCTGTAGAACTCTGCCACATTCATACCTTGTCCTTGTGAGAGGGTAAAATTTTACATTAGCCTTATTCAAAGAACATGGTAATTGTAAGAGACCAAAAAAAACCCCATGGAGTCGAGGGCAGGAGAGAAGAATTTTTCCACATACAAGCACATTTAAACTTCTTCCAAGTACAAAAACATTTGTCTTGTTGCTTTAAGGATAACTTTATGAATCGTAAGGTCTTACAGTACAATCCAGGTGAAGTGACAGCAAGTATTTTAAGTAAATCCCAATGACTTGAAATTCAAGTCCAAACTAAATATTTAATGTTTTCTTTATTGCAAATATGATGTCTTTAACCTGAGGTATAGAGTTGTCTTCCAGAATCTTTGCATAAGGCATAGGGACGTCAGCACCAGTGACACGAACTGCAGGAGCATCCAGGAAATTGAATGCAGGGCCTAGAAGAGAAGGAGGCTCAACTGAGAGAGGCAAGAAAAGACCCTTAGCACCACCACCTTCCCACAGGAGCTATGGCTCTCCAAAGGAGAGAAAATCTAAAGGAATACTAATTACCGGGACTGCTTCTGGCTTTTTAAAAATATTTACCCAAAGGAAAAATGCCAAGGTGACAAGTTGAAAGTTAAGACTGTTGGCCACCCCTAGCTTTTGATCTCTATCCAGTATCCAGGTACACACTGTTTATTACAGCTTGAGTATTCTAGAACCATTTTCTCTGAAATACCTTCCATGATCCTGGCACAAACTTCAGCTCCTACTCCAAACTGTGGCCAGCCTCCTTCCACAGTTATGAGATGATTGGTCTTCATGACACTGGCTTCTATTGTTTCAATGTCCATTGGTCTGATGCTTCGCATATTTATCACCTAAACAGACAATACAGATATGCTTTATAGAGTCACTGCACCACAAATACAGTCTCATCCCCATAATACCACTCCCTCTTTGTTTCCTGTTAATCTCTGGGTCTAGGAAAATCAAATCTGCCTATTCAAGAACAAAATGTAAAATAGGAAATTGTAATTAAAACAAAAATCTTTATCTCTACCACAAGTGGTTCTGTTAAGAATGCACTTAACCCTCTTGGGCTTTAACTTCCTTCTCGTCAAAACAACTAATAACTACCAACTGACTGCTCCCCGTGCACCAGGTGCTACACTACGTGTAATTCCCACAACCACCCTGATGGGACAGTAAATGTATTCTCCTTGGTTTACAGCTGATGGGGCTGAGATTCACAGTACAGATCTTGCCCAAGTGTAACCAGCGAGCGGTAGGTCCTGGACATGAAAGAGACCCTGATTTCTAGTTTGCCCCTCTCCCGACCTCCAGCTCCAAGGCTGGATCCCAACTTGAGAAAGCAGGTACTATTCTAACAGAGCTAGAACCTACATGGTAAACAGCTAGGTATTTGAAAAGCAAGAAGGTTCCCAGCTTCAAGCAGAAGCAGAACTGAGTGACAAAGCAAGATTTTACACTTAGTTAACCTGTTACAGAATTCAAACTCCTATTTCTGGGTTTTAGATTTAAAAGGAAACTTTCTGATTCTTTAAGAAATGAATGTCCACATACCTCACATTCAATTCCCTCTTTAGATAGCACTGTTGCAGCTTCTAAGCAGTGGCCCACAGGTCTTGAATGGGCAACTACGGTTATGTGTGTCCCTGAAACAAAGTGGTCACAGATCAGAGGCCAGGTTGAAACTAAAGATGTTGTACTGCTCTGCAGCCACTGTGGCTCTTGTTCATTTGTAAAATCTTCAACTCAACTCTGTTCCAGGGAGGTGAGGAATGTGGTAGCCTCCCTAGAGATGAAATTCAAATCTACCGGACTACGAATTAGGGAAGCACCTTGTTGCTTTAAGGATAACTTTATGAATCGTAAGGTCTTACAGTACAATCCAGGTGAGGTGACAGCAAGTATTTTAAGTAAATCCCAATGACTTGAAATTCAAGTCCAAACTAAATATTTAATGTTTTCTTTATTGCAAATATGATGTCTTTAACCTGAGGTATAGAGTTGTCTTCCAGAATCTTTGCATAAGGCATAGGGACGTCAGCACCAGTGACACGAACTGCAGGAGCATCCAGGAAATTGAATGCAGGGCCTAGAAGAGAAGGAGGCTCAACTGAGAGAGGCAAGAAAAGACCCTTAGCACCACCACCTTCCCACAGGAGCTATGGCTCTCCAAAGGAGAGAAAATCTAAAGGAATACTAATTACCGGGACTGCTTCTGGCTTTTTAAAAATATTTACCCAAAGGAAAAATGCCAAGGTGACAAGTTGAAAGTTAAGACTGTTGGCCACCCCTAGCTTTTGATCTCTATCCAGTATCCAGGTACACACTGTTTATTACAGCTTGAGTATTCTAGAACCATTTTCTCTGAAATACCTTCCATGATCCTGGCACAAACTTCAGCTCCTACTCCAAACTGTGGCCAGCCTCCTTCCACAGTTATGAGATGATTGGTCTTCATGACACTGGCTTCTATTGTTTCAATGTCCATTGGTCTGATGCTTCGCATATTTATCACCTAAACAGACAATACAGATATGCTTTATAGAGTCACTGCACCACAAATACAGTCTCATCCCCATAATACCACTCCCTCTTTGTTTCCTGTTAATCTCTGGGTCTAGGAAAATCAAATCTGCCTATTCAAGAACAAAATGTAAAATAGGAAATTGTAATTAAAACAAAAATCTTTATCTCTACCACAAGTGGTTCTGTTAAGAATGCACTTAACCCTCTTGGGCTTTAACTTCCTTCTCGTCAAAACAACTAATAACTACCAACTGACTGCTCCCCGTGCACCAGGTGCTACACTACGTGTAATTCCCACAACCACCCTGATGGGACAGTAAATGTATTCTCCTTGGTTTACAGCTGATGGGGCTGAGATTCACAGTACAGATCTTGCCCAAGTGTAACCAGCGAGCGGTAGGTCCTGGACATGAAAGAGACCCTGATTTCTAGTTTGCCCCTCTCCCGACCTCCAGCTCCAAGGCTGGATCCCAACTTGAGAAAGCAGGTACTATTCTAACAGAGCTAGAACCTACATGGTAAACAGCTAGGTATTTGAAAAGCAAGAAGGTTCCCAGCTTCAAGCAGAAGCAGAACTGAGTGACAAAGCAAGATTTTACACTTAGTTAACCTGTTACAGAATTCAAACTCCTATTTCTGGGTTTTAGATTTAAAAGGAAACTTTCTGATTCTTTAAGAAATGAATGTCCACATACCTCACATTCAATTCCCTCTTTAGATAGCACTGTTGCAGCTTCTAAGCAGTGGCCCACAGGTCTTGAATGGGCAACTACGGTTATGTGTGTCCCTGAAACAAAGTGGTCACAGATCAGAGGCCAGGTTGAAACTAAAGATGTTGTACTGCTCTGCAGCCACTGTGGCTCTTGTTCATTTGTAAAATCTTCAACTCAACTCTGTTCCAGGGAGGTGAGGAATGTGGTAGCCTCCCTAGAGATGAAATTCAAATCTACCGGACTACGAATTAGGGAAGCACAAGTGTAGGAACAAAGCATGACACATTTCTTAACTTGAACTCCTCCTCTAATTTCCTAATCAAAGTAAAGGGCAGTAACCTCAAGAATGAATTTGATCAGGGGTGCCTAGGTGGCTCAGTTGGTTAAGTTTCCGACTCTTGATTTCAGTTCAAGTCACGATCTCAGAGTCGTGAGACCGAGCCCGAGTTGGGCTTAGAGCCTCTCCCTCTCCCTCCGACCCTCCCCCACCTCTTAAAAAAAAAAAAAGGAATGAATTTGACAACATAAATACAGGGGCTAGATTACAAATAATATTTGAGCATGTACTAAGTGCTCTTACCTTGCCTTTCTATTTTGGCTTTTCCAATGGGAATCAGAAAATCTTTTGACTGAGCTTCTGAGGGAAATTCAAAAGGAACTCCATACATCAGTTCATTCTCTAGCACTACCACTGCAAAATACAAATATTTAACAGAAGTAACTACATGACCAAATGGATATACAACACTATCATTCATTTTGTGAAAAGTTTCACCGTGCCGATTAGGAAGCCTCCCATCTAGTGTGTCCAGTAGCCTTGAGAGGATGATTTAGGTGCTGGCATTTATTGTCTGCTCAGTCCTCATTTCATCTATTGTAGTTAAACCAGCGTTGCAGATACCTAACAGGCCCCTTTGTACTCAGAAAAGCAAAAACAAAAACACCTTTTTTAAAACAGTCTTTACTGTATCTGTAAGTCATTAATTAACATTTCATATGATATGTCTAAGCCTAACTAGAAGCCTTTAACGGCTTCCTTCCAGGCAAAGATTTCAACTTAGTTCTTTAAGGTTCAAAAGAGACCTAAGGGTCACTCTACTGACCTGGATTATCATCCCGAATGGCTGATTTAATAAGTCCTTTTGCATCCTCTGAATTCCAGGGGCTGACCACCTTTAAGCCTGGGCAGTGCCCGTACCAGGCAGCAAAGCACTGTGAGTGTTGGGCAGCCACGCCTGCTGAGGCACCATTGGGCCCCCTGAAGACTATGGGCACAGGCTGATGGCCCCCCGACATGTAGTAGGTCTTGGCAGCTGAGTTTATAACCTGGTCAATGGCTTGCATAGAGAAATTGAAGGTCATAAATTCACAAATGGGCCTCAACCCAGCCTGTCAAATCAAAAACAAAGATCTTTTAAAAACTAAAAAGCGGCAACCATTCCAAAATTCAATGTTTTTAAAAGGTCATGTTAAAAGAAATCTCTTTGGATGAGATTCATAAAGAGGATTACATACCATAGCTGCACCCACAGCAATTCCAGCAAAGCCCATCTATAAGTAAAACATAAACACAAGTAAAATCCATAAAAATCATAACAGTGTGTACACTTTAACATGCCCCTGAAAGGTATGCTTCCTGATGGAAGGCTTACCTCAGATATGGGAGTGTCTATGATCCTCTTATCTCCGTATTTCTTCCACAGGCCTCGACTAACCTAAAATTACACAATGATCTCATTACTTTTAAATGTATATGGGGGCTAACAGCCACCTCAATTTATATTGCTTTCACGTATCCTGGGTTACCTTATATGCCCCATCATACTGGGCAACTTCTTCCCCAAGCAGAAATACCTTCTCATCTCTTTCCAGCTCCTCATCCATACCTTGGTTTATAGCCTCACGAACTGTCACCTGTCACAGGTATGGAGAAAACAATCAACAAAGATTACTACAGGATTATTTCAGATACTACTGAGATTCTCTCCTTTTGTAATTACCTAGGCTGCCTACAGCATACAATATAAAAACTATCACTAGAACAGGCTTCTCTTTAAAAGTTAAAAGAATTCCAAAAGTAACATTTTTATCATACAGCCTGACTGGATTTGTTAATGAGAAGTTTACTGAACACTTTTCTTGATGGTGCATCTAAGCTTAACAAAATCTGTTTGCTGAGCAGACCAGCTCATAAGTAGTTTCCTAAGTAGAAATTATACTGGGTTGTTTTATTTCCACACTTGGTTTAGTGTGGGACAGAGAACTGGTAAGGAAGCCTATATAAGACTATGTTTGGAGCACTCACTAGGTACCAGGCATTTCCAAACACTACCTTCAGAATCTACAAGTTATTTTACTAGACAAATTGGTAGAATCCTCTAGTAAAATAAAAGGGGTGGGAAATTCCTCAAAGGGTTGAACATAGAATTACCATATCATCCAACAATCCCACTTCTAGATAGATGCTCAAAAGAAATAAAAGCAGGGACTCAGCTACTTGCAAACCAATGTTCTTAGCAACATTATTCACAAATCCAAAAGATGAAAACATCCAAATATCCATCAACAGATGAATGGATGAACAAGATGTGGTATATGCATAAGATGGAATATTAGCCTTAAAAAAAGAAATGAAATTCTGACACATGCTACAACACGAGTGAACCTTGAGATCATCATGCTAAGTGAAATAAGCCAGACCTAAAAGGACAAACATTGTAGGATTCCATTTACAGGATGTACCTAGAATAGATAAATTAACAGGCACAGAAAGTGCAATAGAGGTTACCAGGAGCTAGGGGGAAATGGGAAGTTCCTGTTTAAGGCGTAGAGTTTCTGATTGTGATGGTGATAAAGTTCTGAAGACGGATGGTGGTGATGGTCTCACGACATAGTAAATGGACTTAGTGCCGCTAAATATACACTTTAAAATGGTAAATTTGGTTATGTATATTTTAGTACAGTAAAAAATTTAAAAGGGGGATGAGGGAAGAAGCGTCAAGTCTAGTGTACTCAGACCGCCCACAGATCCCAATGAGCCTGGCGGGGGTGATCTGGTAGTGTGTCCGGCGCTGGATCGCAACAGAGGCACGGCGAATTCCAACAGGACGTGGGAATCCGTCCACTCCAGGGCCCGCGGCCGTCCCCCTCCCCACGGCGCAGGCGCGCCCCCAGCCTCCGCCCCGGGATCGACGGCCCCTCCCTGCCCCGGCTAGGGTCCCGGCCATCTACCTGCAGCGCCGCCGACGCCGTCCGGTGGAAGCGCCTCCTCAGCAGCCCGGAGACCTGGCGGGGAGAGAGAGGACACTGAGAGGGGACGCAAGGTGGGCAGGAATCGCGCGGAGGCACGCGTGCCGCTGCCTACCTGTTCAAGGGGTCTCCGCATCAGGCCAGACACTGCCGCCATCTTGACTGTGTCCTCTAGCCGTTGCCGAATGACAACACGGCAGGACCGCAGTCGAATTAGGCCCCACCTCCGCCACCAGCTCGGGCCAATGGCAGGGCGCGACGCCTGCGTGCCCCGCCCATTCCCTCAGGGGTGAGGGGCCGAGGGGCGGGGCTGAGGAGGCGCGTTGGATGGTTCTACCGCTGTCTCTCCTCGGGAGCGGGCGGCTGCTGCAGTGCGCTCTGCACGCCGGGGACACGTCCGTAAGTGGTGGTGTTTGAAGCATGGGGACCGAAAGTCAGACTCTGAGGAACATAACTTGAGGCTGCAGGGACCTTAAGAGTTAGGTCAGCCTTTTGAGGGCACTGAAACCCTAAGGGCACCAGGTGTCGCTTGCGCACACTCTAATGATAGGAACTTAACCACCTTATGAATGAGCCCGGTCTTCCCGGGACCGCGCACCTAGAATGCGAACCAGAGCTTTCACTGATGCGTTAAGCGCGTGCTGTGTGCCGGACACTGTGATAAGTGCTTTACAGCTCATTTAATTCTCACAGGAACCCTCTCAGGTGATTACTGTTACAATCTCCAGTTGTCCTCAAGTCACTTTGGATTGTCAGTTGTCAGAAAGTCCTTCATCCAAAATTTTCAGCGTCTATGGGCTTGACCAATCTTTTTTTTTTTGCTTGGTCATTTCAAACGAGATTTATTAAGAGGCCTTTTTACTCCCCCTACCTTTTTGGTGTAATTTAGACACAGTAAAATGCACATTCCCATCACCTCAGAAAGTTCCCTCAATGTTTCCTCCCAATCATTCCCCACACATCACCCCCCAAGCAACCACAGATCTGATTTCCATCACTGTAACTTAATTTGCCTGTTTTAGAACTTGAAATAAAGGGAATTATATGATGTGTACTCTTGTGTCTGGCTCAGCAAAATGTTTTGGATATTCATCCATGTTGTTGAGCATAGCAATAGTTTACTCTTTCTTTTCTTTTTTAAATTTTATTATGTTTTTAATAATCTTTACACCCAACATGGGGCTGGAACTCATGACCCGGGGATCAAGAGCCACAAGCTCTTCTGACTGAGCCAGCCAGACGCCCCTCCTCTTTCTTTTAGTTTTTTCTTTTGAAAGACTTTGTGTCACAAGAAATTGTGAAACTAGTACAAAGAGTTTCCGTGTACCCTTCACCTATCTTTGCCCACTGTCTTGTATCCCCTAAATCGATACTGATACAATGCTATTAACTCATTTAGAGACTTTATCCAGCTTTCATCAGTTTTTATATGCATTCTTGTGGGGGTGTATAATACTATAGAAGTGTATTACATGTACAGATCATGTAACTACTCCCACCATCAGAATACAGAATTGTATTGTTCCATCACCACAAAGTACCTCCCTCATGTTACCTCATAGTCACACCCTCCCCAACCCCTAACTCCTGGCAACCACTAATCTGGTCTCAGTCACTATAATTTATTATTTCAAGAATGTTTTATACATGGAATCATACAATATGTAACTCTTTGGGATCAGCTATTGTCACTCAGCCTAATGCTCTTGAAATCCATTCAAGTTGTTGCATTTATCAACATTTCATTATTTTTTATTGCAAAGTAGTTGTATGTTTATCCATTCATACCTTGAAGGACATTTGGGTTGTATCCAGTTTTAGATCATCGGCTCATAGGTTTTTGTGTAAACATTACTTTTCATTTCTTCAGGTAAATACTGAGCAGTATGATTATATCGAAGTGTTTTTCCAGAGTGGATATACCATTTTACATTACCTCCAGCCATGTATGAGACATCCAGTTGCTCTGAATCCTTGCCAGCATGTGATATTACCAATATTTTCTATTTTAGCCATTGTAATAGATGTGTAGCGGTGTCCCTCATGACTTTTAATTTGCATTTCTCTAATGGTTAATGATTATTGAACATCTTTTCACATGCTTACTTGCTATCCATCCTTGGCGAAGTGTCCAAGTCTTTTGCTCGTATTCTAATTAGATTATTTGTTTTTTTATTTTAGTAAAACATGAATAAAATTTACCATCTTAAGCGTATAGTTCATTGGCATTTTTAATATGTTCATATTGTTGTTCAGTTATCACCGTCATCCATCTCCAGAACTCTTTCTTTTTCTTTCTTTTTTTAATTTTTAAGTAATGTCTACACCCAACATGGGGCTTGCACTTACAACCCTGAGATCAGGAGTCGCATGCTCTACCCACTGAGCCAGCCAGACACCCTTCCAGAACTTTTTCATTTTCCCAAAAGGAGACTCTGTAGTCATTAAGGAGTAACTCTCCATTCCCCTCTTCCCCTAGCCACTGGCAACCACCATTCCATCTCTATGAATTGGACTACTCTACCTCATATAAGTGAAATTATACTGTGTGTGTGTGTGTGTGTGAGAGAGACAGAAAGAGACTAGCTCGTTTCAGTTAGCGTAATGTCTTCAAAGTTCATCAATATTGTAGCATGTTATCAGAATTTCATTCCTTTCTAAGGTTAAGTAATATTCCATTGTATGCATATATCACATTTTGTTTATCCATTCTTCTGTTGATGGACATTTTGGTTGTTTTCAACGTTTAGATTTGTGAATAATGCTGCTATGAACATTAGTGTACAAATATCTATTTGAATCCCTGCTTTTAATTCTTTGGGGTATATACCTAGAAGTGGTGTTGCTGGATCATATGTTAATAGTATGATTAATTTTTTTGAGGAATGACCATTCTGTTTTCCATTGTAAATTAACTAGTGTATATTCCCACCAGCAATGCACAAAGGGTTCCAATTTCTTTACATTCTCACCAAGATTTATTATTTTCTGCTTAATTGTTAATAGCCATCCTAATATATATGAAGTAGTATCTCATCATGGTTTTTATTTGCATTTCCCTAATGATTAGTGATACTGATCATCTTTTCATGTGCTTATGGGCCATCTGTATGTCTTGGAGAAATGGCTATCCAAGTCTTTTGCCTATTTCTCAACTGAGTTGTTTTGTTGTTGTTGAGTTACAGGAGTTCTCTATATAACCTGGATATTAATCCCTTATCAGATATATGATTTGCAAATATTTTCTTCCATCCCTTGGGTTGCGTTTTCACTCTGGTGATAGTGTCCCTTGTTACACAAAAGTGTTTAATTTTGATAAAGTCCATCTTATTTTTTCTCTTATTGCCTGTGCTTTTGGTATTATATCTGTCAAAGATTCAAAATAGCCCAAGTAAAACCAATGAATCACTGAAGTAGTAATTAGTAAAAACTTACTGTGCACACACCAAAAAGACAGTTTGTAAACTGGGAGCCCTCAAACTATAACATGACATGAGTCTTAGGAGTATATGTTATAAAGCAGTTTATATAGTGAGAAAGCAGTGAGTTTATTCTTCACGGTGATTGGTTATAATATCACAATTTTCAGCAATATTTCAGTTAATATTTTCATAATAACCTTGGGAAACAGTTCAAGTTTTGCTTTTCATTTATAGGGACGCAAGCAAGAAATTATCCAGATCAAGTTAGCCTTGCAAAATAAGCTAAATGAAGCTTTGTTTGTATGATGAAGCTGGTTTTGTCAGTTCAGGGAATTTTCAAGATTGGTCTCTGTTTGCTTCTGATTTAACATATCTAAGAAATCATTGCTAAATTCAATATCATGAAGCATTTCTCCCATATTTTCTTCTAAGAGTTTTATAGTATTAGCTCTTATGTTTAGGTCTTTGGTCTATTTTGAGTTAATTTTTATATATGATGTAACGGTGGGTCCAATTTCATTATTTTGCACATGAATATCCAGTTTTCCCAATACCATTTGTTGAAAACACTGTCCTTCCTTGTTGACTGTCATGGCACCCTTGTTGAAAATCATTTGACCATTTATGGGAGAGTTTACTTTTGAGCTTTCCAGTCTATTTCTTGGTCTCCATGTCTATATTTATGTCAGTACCACACTGTTTTTGTTTTTTTTTTAAGATTTTATCTATTTGAGAGAGAGAGAGAGGAGGAGGAGGAGCAGAGGGAAAGGGACAAGCAGATTCCCTGCTGAGTGGGGAGCCCAATGCAGGGCTCAATCCCAGGACCCTGAGATCACAACCGGAGCTAAAACCAAGAGTCGGACGCCCAACTGATCCACCCAGGTGCCCCAGTACCACACTGTTTTGATTAGTGTAGCTTGGTAGTAAATTTGAAATCAGAAGTTGAGTCCTCCAGCTTTGTTATTCTTTTTCAAGGTTGTTTTGGCTACTTGGAGTTCCTTGAGATTCCATATGAACTTTAGGTTGGATTTTACTACTTCTGCAAACACTGTCATTGGGATTTTGATAGGGACTGCCCTGGATCTGTAAATTGCTTCAGGTGGTATTGACATCTTAACAATATTAAACCTTCCAATTTATGAACACGGGATATCTTTCATTTATTTGTATCTTCTTTATTTTTTTTAAAGATTTTATTTATTTATTTGCCAGAGAGAGGGAGAGTACAAGCAGGGGGAGTGGCAGGCAGAGGGAGAAGCAGGCTCCCTGCTAAGCAAGGAGCCCAATGCGGGACTCAATCCCAGGACCCTGAGATCACGACCCGAGCCGAAGGCCAGATGCCCAACCATCTGAGCCACCCAGGTGCCCTATTTGTATCTTCTTTAATTTCCTTTAGCAATGTCTTGTAGTTTTCAGTGTTTAAATCTTTAGCCTCCTTGGTTAAATTAATTCCTAATTATTTTATTCTTTTGGAGGCTATTATGAGTGGAATGGTTTTCTTAATCTCATTTTCATATTATTGTCCATTGTCAGTGTATAGAAATGCAACTGTGACTTTTGTGTGCTGATTTCATATCCTGCAAATTTGCTAAATTTGTTTATTAGTTCTAACAGGTGTGTGTGTGTGTGTCTGTGTGTGTGTGTGTGTAATCTTTAGGATTTCCTATGCATAAGATCATGCCATCTGTAAAAAGAAATGATTTTATGTCTTCCTTTCCGATTTGGATGCCTTTTTTTTTCCTTGTCTAATT